GCATTTCCACTGCACAAGCCCCAGCATCACCCTGCACATCCTGGAGACCCCCAGAAGCTCAAACAACCAGACCTTTCATGCTATTTCATTCTGGCTGAACTGAGACTGAAATTTAGTAAGTATCCCATAAAACTGGGCTCTTTTGGGACCAGCATGAATGGTTAAATAACAGGGAGCTTTAGAAGCTTTCATGCAACAGCAATTTAGTTTGAGTGATTCTGTAGCATCATATAACTCTTCCGTCTTTTCCCTCGCCTGCTTCCCCGGGGAAGGAGCCTGCAGAGATTTTCCAGCTGAGTGGGAATGGCAGGGGAGTACTGGTCAAATGACATGTGAAGCAGCACTCTGCAGTAGGGGCTGGAGACTTCAGAGGGGCCATCTCAGAGGAGGAATTCTGTCTCCAGAGGCTTTAGTGTTTGTGTGGGGTTTTGTGGCTGCTGTTTTCTCCTTTGTTTTCTGCAGCTCAGTGTATTCTGTTGATACAGCATGGGAGTTGTTAAAAAATAAAGTGTTTCTCCCCTTCCTACTCTTTAGGAGTAAAAGGAAGTATAATTCCTCCAAGGTGGATGTAAAACATGGTGTGCAGAGGACTGAGCCACCTGGCTTGAGGTAAATGGGCAAGGTGCTCTCTCCCCACTCCCTGCTTTCTCGCCATCCATCAGAGTTCATATCATTTCAAGTGTCTTGGCTACAAATTTGGTTAGTGAGTAGGGAAACTATGCCTTTGTTCTGATGCTGGCAATGCTCAGCAAGCTTGATTAACTAAAATAAAACCATCTGCAACCACTCTAATCAATGGCACATGCACAGAGCAAAACTCTAAGCTCATGGCTCATGTAAAGTGTTCATTGCATCAGACTGCTGCGCCGCAGGAAAGAATTTATGGGCAAGAGCAAGTGGCTCAGTATTACCCAAAGTTGTTGGTGGGACACATGTACCCCTTGTCCCCTCCAGTGGCTGGTTCATTCCTGCAGTTTCCTGTCTGGAGGAAGGGCTGTGAGTGCCCCAGTCATTCCTATGGCACTGCAGATCCCGGATTCAGGACTCTTTACATTTGTGGTGTTTTCAGGAGGTCTTGGAAACCAGAAAGGACTTATGAAGTTAGCTCATATGACTTGAGGGTTGAATGAGATTATGCTAAATATGTCACTGGATTTGTAGGAAATGGGTGAATCTATTTCTTCATTCACTGAACCCTCTGCAACCTGAGAGCTCATGTTTAGCTCCTTGTCTCAGTGGTGAGATGCAGCCCATTGATCCCACACACCATGTGGGTCTAATTGGTGATCATGTTCTGGATCACAGATTAACTTTTTAGCTGTGTTTTCACAAGCTGGAGCAGATATCCAAGGCAGTTTACCAACAGAGGAATCAATGCAGTACTTACAATTTCTTCATCTTTTAAATATGTGTATGCTACCCTGGACCAGAGCACAGAGAAAGTTCTTTTGAGAAGCTCAGTGCAGGTCCTGTGTTTAACTCCAGGAGAGTTTTCTTTAAATCTGATGGTGGATCAAGACCAAGAATAAGTTCCCATGCTATTCCTATAATTCCCTTTTCCTACAGCCTTGTGCAACACAGTTAATGATCCACCTGTCAGGACCAAATATTTCCTCAGGCTTCAAGAAAATACATCACTTCACCACTGGACCTAACTTGCCCTAAAGTTGTTCACTGCCATCATTTTCCATTTGCACTTTTCATGTCAAACTATTGTGTCAAAATTGACAGTCATGGCAAAGCTGGGAAGCTGTACACAGTCTTGGCTGATGATAATTACATCATCAATTCCTCTTCAAAGTATAAAATTCTGGTCCCCCATAGTCTCTTTGGAGCTGCATGTGGCCTGATACTCGTTAAAATTTTTTTTCTACTTACCTTTCCCCTCGTGTTTGAACAAATGTTGAGCCTAGGACAACCTCTCAGAGTTTGTGATCTTCCTCCTGAAAAACCCACGTCTTTGTTCAGCAATACACGGAGTGGTGGTAGACATAGTTGCTTTGTATTCTGAGGCAGTGCTTAAAACGAGACTTTTCCCTTCAAAATCTGATACATGGGTCAAAGGGGCGACTGATCACGTGGTTTCATCTGCACGCTCCTGACAGCTCCCATCCTCTTCTGCATATTCATCGCTGCCTCTTTCACTGCAAAATGATGCATTTGAAAGTCTAGTCCACATCTGACCACTTTGGGGACTGATTTATTATAGCAGAGAAGGGTTTTTTTCAAATTGTATTAATCTTTACATATTGAACGAGGCCCTGGGCTACAGCACATCAGTTTCGGGCTTGCATGCTTCTGGGTTTCGCAGAAATATTATGGTAGTTTTTAGTAAAGATTGATTTAATCAGACAAAATCTCACAACCTAGAATCAAATCCCAATTTAGCAAACCAAATCCACTCTGCAAAGCACGTAAGCCTGTGGTTTACGGCAAAGCAATGCTTAGATTGCCATAGGATCAAGAAGGGTTGAAGGATTTTCTTGGGGAAGTCTCCTGAACTTGGTAGGGGAAGTGGGAAAGGAAATCTCTGCTGCTTCTCACACCACAGTCAGGCCACTTAGGTACAGTGAAAGCAGTGGTGGGAATTATGGTGGTCAAAAGCAGGCTGGCTTCTTGTCTCTTATTGTAGAGGTCAGTGCAATATTGGTGATGAAATCTTGACAAAACTTTCCCAGCAGCTTTACTGCACCAGTGGACCTGAGCCCTTCTCAAGTACTTTCACTACCCCTGCAGAAGACACTTTGCCAGGTTTGAGATCTTCTCCAGAGCAAATAGGGTAGCTAGGTGGAAAAAACCCCTTCCAGCCTCAGACACAGGAAGAACTCACCCTGTGATCACTAACTTGCATCCATGGGGGAACTCGGCCTGCAGTGAGAGCAGAGTGATCTGGTAGTTTAACCTCCTTTGAGGAGAGGCTCAATTAATCCAGGTTTCCTCAGCCTGAGATCATTCACAGGGGCAACTATCATGGACTAGCTGTTAGGTTGAAACTTGTCACCCTCCAGGAACTTTGCCTGTGTTTCCAAGCCCTCAGATTTGCTAGAGGTGCACGGGCAGCTTTGATATTTACCTTTCTGTAGCACTGTTTGACCCTTCATGAAGGGGAGATTCTGAATTTGACAACACCACTCAGCAAGGGTGTGAATTTCCAAGTTTTACACTCATATGTGCTGTTTGAAATTCATCCTGCTGTTCATTGGTTGCATAAGCCTTTCCAGGGAGGGAACAGGAGTGTTACCTTGATGTTCCTACAGTGAACCCACACAGCATGAGCTGCAAACTGTGACTGCTCGCTGTGTACGGCTCACAAATGATCTGCAGACTGATTATGATTCACCGAAAAAATCTGCAAATAATTTTAGATGAAGAGTCCAATCAAGAATCTATTTGCAGACAATTCACAAACACAAAAAGAAGTGAGATTCATTCGATAAAATATGCACTATGAATTATTCATCTGGCTCTAGTTAATGAGGTAAATGGTACTATCAGTGTTTAAAGCTAAGCTCATTTGTATATATTGGGCAGATCAAGGCTGAAGTAAGAGATGAGGTTTTGGGGGAATAACCTAGTCTTCAGAGGGTTCAGCAGAAGAAGTGCTAATTACGTGTGCAGCCAGGATTTCATTCCTTCAGTTTGAATGCAATGGCTTGTCCTGAGTCAGAGGAGCAAAAGAAGGTATTCCTAATTCCAGCTTTGGATCTCTACATTAGACACCATTCTATGGGGCTTGTGGTCAACACAGAATACATAAGGAAGGAAGGGAAGCTTGGGGTGGTTTCTTTAAAGGTTTTGTGATGTTTTAATATGGGGATTGACATGAGCTGGAAATCTTGGGTCTTTATTGATTTTTTTTTTAATTATTTTTGCAAGAGTTCAGGCACCCATATGTGTTACAATATGGAAAAATCCCACGGGAGGAGGAATCGTGAAAATTTGATTTTTTTCTAAATAATTTCTGTTTGAATGATCATAATTTGACCAATATCTTAAAACTTTCGTGCATACTTTTTAGAACACCAAAGCAACAGCAAAGCATGTGCTTGACTTTATTCACATGAGTAGCTCTACTGAAACAGCAGAGAATACATCTATGACCAAATGTATACAAAAGCATAAATCAATTCAGAAAATCCAAGGTTTAGTTTTAGCCACTCAGAGATTTAATCAGAATTAAATGAGAGGTTGAGTGGATATTAACTTCTCCCAAAACATTTTTCTTTAAGAGTCTCAAGGTGGATTTAATTCTTTCATTTAATCACATAAGTCTGACAGTTTGAATTTATAATATTCTGGAACCTCAAGTAGAAAAATTTGGAGAATTCTTTATGGAAGTGATCATTACTTTACTGGAAAAGCCCTTAATTTTGAACCTAGATTTCCTTTTGTATTTTCAAATTTTGAAATTTTTAAAACTGGTTCCTGTTGGTTCTAGGACTTGACATTTTTTACATGAAATTACATTGTCAAGAAACATTTTTTTGACATTCCTACAATAAATCTTTAGCAGGTAATGCTTGAAATTACAGGCCACAAATCTCAGTAAGTGCTATTTACTAACATGATAATTGTGGAACATTCAATGATGTGTTAAGTACCATGGAGTGGCAGTATAATTACAGTACATGGCACGTTACAATATAAATATAAAGTAAATACATGATTATTTCTGGCTTAGGTCACATGGTAAATACTAAGTGCAATTACGGCACCAAGTAATCTGCAGGAACGTGTAATTACTCTTGGGCTCAATTCATTTACAAATCCTTGTCCAGCTTTTCACACCATATGGGTTGTGGAAACTGTGGAAAAAAGATTATTCATGGCTGCAGTGGCCTCCTTATTACCACAGCCAAACCTCATAGATGGATGATGGCTCTTCTGCCCTCTCCCACGTCCCAGAGGATGGAGGTGAAGATTGGCATTATCAAGGCAGCACTATGTAGCCAGATGGCCATGGCAAGCTGGGCCAAGAGATCTCCAGTTCTTTGACAAACTCAGCTGTTATCTAATAGTTTGACCTTAACAGTTTTGCTTTGGTGAGACAATTTCACCCCGTTTTTGAGTTATTCATCAGTAATGTGAACTCTGCTTTACTTTCATCCTGGAGATCCAAGGCTGTGGCTGAATGCTGCTCAACACCAAGGCTGATTCAGGAACCTGCCATTTTGTAATCTCTCCTTGGATCCCTCTGCTGTGTTAGCTGAGAGGTCTGATGGGCTGAGAGGGATGGTTTGGCTAACACAGCCAACAACTCCACAGGTTCAAGAGAAGAGATGGCAGTAGAAGTGACCAGGGCATATGGAAATCCTGTACACCTAACAGAGAGCAGACATTTGATTCAGGTGGTGTGAAATAGTCAGTCTACAGACTGCCACAGTGTGTGATAATTGGAGAAAAGTCTATCAGAGAAAAAAAATAGTAGGAGAAAACCAATTTAAAGCCACCAGAGCATCTTTCTTTATCCGTCCAAGAGGACAACATGGTGCTTTAGACATCACCTGCTTCCTCTTGTTCCAGGCACCTGGAGCCTCAAGAAGGTGATCCCCACTGTATTTTTCTAGGAGAGATGACCAGTATCAATCTTACAGTCTGTCAACAGGACATGAACCTTGGACCTTCACTGCTAAAGCTCAGATCCCCTGAGACATTAACAGCTGCAGCTGTTTGCCATTAACCAGCCCTGCTCTCCAGGGATTGCTTCTGGGGCAGCTGGGATTCTGGCTCGTTTCTTCTAGGGTCAGCTGCAAAGAATTTGAAGCAGAGATCGGAAGTGGGGAACCAAGTTGGACTCAGGAAGAAGCTGCCATGGTCTGTGCTGCTTTGGAATGCACAGCAGGGGCTGCTCCCAAGTTGAGATGTATGATGCTTGATAGGGTCTGATGAAAAGAAAACTTCCTGAACTCAGGATGGACACCTTCTGAAGATTTGAAACTTTTGTGATGCTTGGGAGTGGGAATATCCCAGTTGAGGAAGTAGGCACAGGTTGGCTAAAGGGCAACATGACTCTGGAGAGACTGGGTATAGTTCAGGGTAGACAACTCTCCATTTGGCTCTTCTCAGGAGGTAAAATGATGTTCCTTGTCTGAAAACTGCTCTCCTGTCCTCAGAAGGCCAAACAGAACTTCCTTCCACAACCCTGGGGAGCTGGATCACCCCAAGGCACAGCAAGAAGCCCATGCTGTGTTTCTCTGCCATGGTCTCCTCATGCTTCCCTCTCCCAGAAAGGGGAAAGGCTGCCCTGATGAGCCAAAATTCTGGGGCACAGATGAAAGGATGTGGTCTCTCAGCATTTTTGTTTCATCCCTCTATACTCACATCTGTTGGGCTCTCCTTTTGGCTTGTTCAGTCTTACTTGGTTCAGTTTTTCTCACAGTCTCCCTTGGCCAGGAGAGAGGGAGAAATAACAAATAGCCTGAAGAAATATTTCCAGTTGTGTGGCACACACTGTAGTGCACAGGGATAGTTAAACAGGGCCTTGGGGCTAAAACAGCAGAAAAATAAGAGAAACACCAATGATTCTGATTTAGCATCAAAATGTATCTGTCTCTTCCCAGTAAAACCATCGAAAACTCCTCTGAGGCTCCCAAAACTTTGCATAATGCCTGCAAAGAGGTGTCAGTTTAAAATTCCTGCCTTGCAGTAGGCTGTAATATATAATTGTATATTAAATGATTATGGTGTCAAGAGAAACTCCAAAGGAAGAACCTTCTTATTTGTTGCACACCATTTGCTTATCATGAAATAGGAAACACACTTACTCTGTGCTGCAGCCTTGAGAAATCACTATAAAAATCTGTCATTGCAAAAAAAGGCTCTTGCTTACTCCAACCATGGCTAAGGCAGTAACGAAGACATGAGTTATGTGTTACCTAACTCAAGAGAAAAGTTCCTTGCCCTAGTTCAGCAGACTAGTATAATTTTTAAGATGCTGTATCTAATGCAGAGTGTCTGAACACTCTCAGGTTGTTTAGAATCAATTGGCTTAAATCTTGTGTAATGAAAGTCTATTTGCCAAATAGGTTTGAGCTCCATTGCTATGCAAATTAACATTTGCAGGGACAAATTTCTAAGTCCTTCCTCTCTTTGTTACTTCCAAGATGTTATGGATACAATTTTGCACTAGCAGTTATGTGTGGGTGCAGTTCGTGTCATTTAAACTTCTAATTACAGCATCTGATTGCACCCACGTATCTTATCAGCTAGTTAGACACGTCAGTGACACGCACCAAAACTGCAAATAACTGGGGGTACAAAATTGCACCAGCAATTATCTGCACCCACTGAAGGTAAGGATGGGTATAAAGCAGGCCATTAAAGTGTTTAAAATACTTTTCTTACAGTAATATAAACCACTGCTATGGGGATATTACCTGTGGGAACGTAGAACAAACATTAGGCTGAATTTTGAGCAGCACCTGGGTTGGCTTTGTTGCATGAATCTAACCAAGGTTCTCTTTGTGGGTGCAAAATGTGTCAGCCAGGTCTGAGTTTACTTACCTGGCTTCCTCCCTCAGCTCTGCTCAGGATCCTGATAGTACCAGCACAAAACTCTTCCTTGAGTCCAGCTGAAGCCAAATGTGATGCCTACACTGCACCCCTTAGAAAATGTGCTCTGGCAGTGTCTGAGTCAACACCATAAATTCTCTGTGAATACAGTCTGATTTTTTTAAATAGCCTGGGGGCTTCTCTTAGCAGCCAGAGGAGATATGTTGATTGGGTTCATACTCATGTTTAAATTTAAGCTTGCAAGTGTTCTGCTGAAAAAGGCGTAAATGGAGTGAGGACAGTTTATGTAGAAAGAAAATAAAGCTCTACAAAATAACAGAAAGCAACTTCATTACCTGCCTATTGTTAATCCAAGTAACAAACTGTAGTCATCTTTAGGACATGCCCTTTTGCCTGGTCTCTGGGATTTTGCCATTATTTCCTGAAACTCTCAAGGGATGTCACCAGTGCAGTAAAACATAGAGATTGCTGTATGATTGTCCTACAACTCTGTGTTTGTCCTGCCCTTTGGCACTTGGGTTAGAGACTGATCCTCCTCTGGTGCAGTATGGGAGGATGGGATGGTCCCTGTCTCAGAAACCTTCTTGGGTTCCCTTCCCTGTATCAGGTGTGGGACATGCAAACACCACTTGCTCTCATAGATTTATGAGTAGCTGAAGGTACTGGAGTTACTAACAGCAACTGAAATACTGGAGGTTACATTTCATTTACAGCATCATGAAACTGTTTTAATGTTGCATTTTTTGTTAGGTTTTTTTTTTTTATTTTTAAATAGTTGTGTTTTAAGTGATAAACATCCATACTCAGAAATGGTGTACATTTTTTGCTGTCTGGAGTGCAGTCTCTCACAACAGCCTAGGTGCACATGTCTTCAGATATTATTTTTTTCCCTATGACAAATACTTGCAATTATTCAGGAATTAGCTATGAGCTTTCCCAAGCAGCTGGGAACATTACAGGAGCTGAGCTGGAGTGGGGTTGCTTTTTGAAAGGAGCCCTCTCAGAAGCAGAAGACAATGGGGAGCACAAATATTTCAATCCACGCAGATTCCAGTGGTGATGCAGAGGTCCTGCCTATGGATATTGCCTTCTTGGAGTCTGGCCCTGATAGAAAACCTGGGAGGATTGTCTTCTGTTCTCATTTACCCTGGGGTAAATCCAGGGCAAACTCAATGATCCAAATGGAACTAGTCCAGATTTCTGCTGGCCTAAATGAGAATATTGTTTTCATATACTAGTGGGGAATTCTGCTTTCTTTAATACCATACTTTAAAATTTTGCTGTCACCATGGGACACTGAAGCTTTATTTTTTGGCTTATATTCTACCCATGAAAGAATTAGTTGTTTCAGCTTCCTAGAAATCATTGCATGATTCAAGTTACTCTTTCTTCATGGCTTATTCAAATGTTGGGCTTAGTTTCCACCACAACCATTCCCTACTCTAAAACATTATTTATATCCATAAACCACTGCAGGTTGGGAACAGCCAATGAAGAAGTAAAATAAACACAGCATTGCCTTTTAGCTGGAGTTGTACTCTGCTCCCCAGAAGGGATAACATTTATAAATTAAACACATGTTTAATTAACTTTCTGTCTTTGCACAGGATTGTGAGGGCGGGCACAGTCACAGTGATTTGAAGATGCAAGATGCTCACGTGGCTCTTTCACAAAAAATTCCAAGCAGTAAAATAAATCATGGTTTAAAAAACTAAAGTCTGGGTTTGGGGCTCTGCTGGTGCTGGCCCAAAGCTGTAAGAGCCACACTGAAGTAATTTCAAAGGAGTGAGGTCTGAGCATGGTACCCAAAGTGAGGTGGTGAAAAAAAAAGATTTTTTTTTTTTTTCCTCAGGGGAAAAGAGCAATATACATCCTGGGATTTGGAAGGTGGCTTGCACATACTTTACCATCTTGCAGTCTGCAATCATACACAGTTATCCTAACCTGTCATCTCAGTGAGTGACACTGCTGTAGTCAGAACCTCGTTTCTCCCCATTGTGAGAGAGAGAGAGGAAATTCTCCTTTGCTTTGATAACATGCTGTATCCCAGTTGAAAGGCATCCTTCCTGGGGAGCCCCTGTTTGTATGAAGAGGAAGTTAAGTAGCCATTTGTAGCCTAAAATTAACAGTTAGAGTAAGATCAGTTAAAGAGGGTAGCAGTCCCTTTTGAAATGAAGTTAATTAATGACATTAATGAAGGTTTGGGTGCCTTTTGAGAAAAAGAGCTCTGGCTCAATCACAAGGTGTGAGCGTTTGATGCAAGAAGCCTGGGGCATGTTTCTGGGTCTGTCACAGTAAGGTTGTGTGAGATGTTCAGATTGATTCCTGTGGCCTTTAAACTCCAAGTCTACCAGCTCTGCCTGTGCCGGGAACACTTTCCAGAACATTTGTGCTGTGAATTCCAACATTGTTGGAGTGACTGTATGTTGTAAGAACTGTATTTCTAGTGGCAAAAGAAAAGGCCTGTTATCTACAGGTCACCATTTCTGTTGCTGTGCCTGTTACAGCTGCTTGGAGCTCAGGCTGCACTTGCTGTGCCTGTTACAGCTGCTTGGAGCTCAGGCTGCACAAATCCTCCAAGCTAATCCAATGTAGGCAGCTGGAGCTAGCAAGAGGGGAGACACAGAGCTTTGTCTGATGTGGATCAGGCATGAATATTTTCAGAATCCCACTGAAGAGGTCTGCAGATGAAGATTAATACTTACAGAAGTGTCAGCCTCAGTTTTCTGACCTATCCAGAGCTGATGTCCACCTGGCAAAACCCTGTTATGAAGGTGGGCTGGCACCACTGCCTACAACCCCTGGTTCCTGAGATGGCTTCATCCCTCCTTTTGTGATTGCACTGATATCAACAAGTATCAGCTTAGGAAAGTGTTTGGCACTGCCTGGAGCTCTGGCAGGATGGGTGTCTGTACTTTTTCTATAAAACCACAGTGATGCCTGGGAATCAGGCAAAAACGTTTCTCCTTGTTTTTTGTTGCAGTAACTTGGCAGGACACAAGCCCAACCTTGCTGGAATGACCTCTGCCACTAGGCAGACAACTGGCTGCAGTTCCTGAAGTTTGCTGAAGGATATGTAACAAAGATTTTCTCCTTTTCAGTGTTTCAGTTTCCTTT